AGACCACCTATCCTTTCTACTGAAGACTGATGACAGAGGAACGAAATTTGATATATGGAATACTAAAACATGATTTTTTAGCCTAAAATATTCTCTTTTTTTCTCTCCACTAGATCGGGACACCTCAGAGGACGTAGCAGGCGGGTGGAAAAGTTAAGAACGAACAAAAATACTTATGGTATACAGGTTTTCACACCAAGTCAATAATACTGGGAACCTGTTAACCAAAGCAGTGGTGTCCGTACTTTCAATTGAATCATTCAAGAGAAGACTAGACACTCACAGAAGCATACTAGAAATTGAATAACATAAGCCTGAGCCTTCTGTCTCTTCAGTCATTACCTTCGAAATTCATGGAGTCCCTGATATGCGATGGTTTAAATGACTATCTACTGTCCTTAAATTTCTTCTCACCCCAACAGCATGGTTTCAGGAAGGGTCACTCTTGTAAAACCAACCTGCTGACTGCGGTGGACAGATGGACAAGCATCCTCGATCGCAAGGGAAAGGTTGATATCATTTACCTTGATTTCTCAAAGGCTTTTGATAAAGTTAACCACTTGTGTCTTATCAATAAGCTAAAACGACTAGGTATCAAACCACCTCTAATCGATTGGCTTACTTCATACCTAGAAAATCGACACTCTAAGGTTAGGCTTAATTTCACCTTATCTCAGGTTATGGAATGTCCTAGTGAGGTCCCCTAGGGCTCAGTATTAGGGCCTCTCCTCTTCTTGATCTACATAAATGATCTTCCTTAACAGATAACGTCAGACGTGAAACTTTGGAGGGAGATACGCAACCAGGACGATACACAGGCACTTCAGGAGGATCTGAATCGACTTCAAAGTTGGGCAGACGATAACGGACTTACCTTTAGCACTTCAAAGTGTAAAGTAGTCCATCTGTGACATGTCGCAGACCATAGTTAAGACTTAAACAACTCCTTTACAGTAGTATCTTAAGTCGAAAATGATTTAGGAGTCCTGGTGCCCTACGATTTGAAGTCTTACGCTAACTGTGACAAAAGTGCCTTTCGAGCAGACCTTACACTGGTAACGTTGAAGCGCATTTTTGGCCAGTTTGACGGAAGAACTTTCCATACAATCTTCAATAGTTTTATCCGTCCCCATTTAGAGTACGGAAATATAGTACTCCCCCCTCACTCCAAAAGAACAAGGTCACTTTGGATCGTATCCATGAAATCAGTTCGCGGACTCAAATCTAAGCCTTATGACGAACGCCTCCATTCACTAGACCTTTACCCATTAGAGTATAGGCGTCTTAGAGGTGATTTATTAATTGCTTATAGTATTCTTAACACTTCTGGACATCCTCTTAAACACCTACTTAAGCTTAGTTCGAATAATAACCTAAGGGGTAACACCCAGAAACTGGAAACTCAACATAGCAAGTCAGAATGTAGACAAAACTTCTACTCCTTAAGAATTGTCAAATGCTGGAATTTGCTGCCGGCCGTTCTAGTCCAAACGACTTCTCAGGAGTCCTTCAAGAGACAACTTGACCTATTCTTAAGGACCAAGGACAGTATCACACTATGATTTACCAATTTCTTTTCCTCTTTTATTGTTAACATACCTAGGTTCCTGCCTGGAGGATTTGGTGATCCCCTGCTACTAGACACGGAAGCCTGTTAAGCGAAAGCTTCTTCTATTCTGTCCACAACCATTTGAACCATTTGAAATTCAACCTTGAATTATAGCCACCTTTTTGTATCTCAAGGTAATAGACTAGGTTTATTCGGCCAGACTATAATTTATGGACGACCTTAGAGCGGCACTAAAGTGACTTTGAGGATGTCCACTTTCTAACTAGGACTAAATAAGGGTTATAAACTGATAGCAGGAGTCCGAATTATGATTTACAGTTGATAGTTGTACTCGGGAACTACAATTAAGGTTTTTATCACGAACAGACATCAGCTGAAATACCTACACACTTTTTTGTCAAAAAGATAAATTCTGCACCAAAATCTTGGACTTTTCATCCCATATGTGATTGGTTTGTAAGTAAATCATAGTCTCGTCGCCTAGCGTTTGTTCAGTTTAAGTAATAAGTATATTGCGCTCGTGGAACTGTATTAAGATTCGCAGCTTGTTTTCCAGTGAAGGTTCATCTTCTAAAAAATTTTCACTGATAGGGATGATATTACTGGTTTGGGCAGGACATTCCAGTCATTGATCATTCCCTTAAAATATCAGAACTACACTCTGATTTTATTAGCTCGCAGTTTTTGGAGCTTCTTGCTATGGCCTCAGGATGATTAATTCTGGAGAGCGAAGGAAGATAAGACATACTAACACCCAGGTAGTTATCAAGGATACAAAATACTAGTATCTTGTCACCTCACATTCTACGATACAAAGAAGAGCACAGGTTTATGCGTTTTAAGTACTCATCGTAAGGGAGTTTGGAAAGACTTTTCACTAGTTTTGTTCTCACACACTGAACACGCTCAAGTAAGTTAGTATCCCTAACAAGACAAACTTCTGGCAGTACATTTCGGATGACAGACTCCACTCGCTCATGCATGCCTTTTGGCAGGGTCATTATCTTTTTAATCCCCTAGATTCCAAATAAGTAAACTAGGAACGGATTTGATTTCTTTGAAAGTCATGTCCAGGGTTTTTGATTGTGTTGTCATTTCATATCTTAACTACTGGGTACTTTTCTTTAACTGTTTTCGGATCAAATTCGTTCGGTTCGAGCAAATTACTTACAATAATATTCGATAAGATCATGCTCTTTGCAGCCACACTATGGTCAAGTTCCACATTACTTTTAGACTTTGGCGATGTAAAGCAGAATGTCAGTCTACCAAAGACTTATCAATCGGGCGGCTGCTGCTCGTGGCTCTTCCTCTTCGTTATCTCCACACGGTCGTCCATTTCCCGTCACTCAGGACAGCCTTGGGATGATGACGGATTTATTCGGGTCTTCAATTACTACTTTAGAATCATGACTATCTATATCCGGTGATACTCAACTATTTGTTTTAAACGGGATTTTCCTTTTCTGTGATTTACAATCGCGTGTTTGGCTCGTCCTGGAGCAGCAGGTAACACACAGACACATTCTACACTGTCAGTACTCATGTTACCAGTGCATCCACCATCGGTTTTCTTGCAGACCAAAGCCAGAAGGCTCATAACCTCCGGGACCAGTAACGTCTCATTTGAACAACAAGACACACAGAGAATGGGATTTAGGCTCCGAGCATCTTCTGTTTGCAGTTAGGTTCAAACAGCCTACACATTTTGTGCAAGCACGTTTTGCACTCATTACATCGCATTCCTTCCTCCACAGAGAATACAGAACTAAACGACAGATGTGTGTACATGGCGAATTCATTCGTTCGTCTAAACCTGAGTCACATCTTGGGACACTAAATTAGTGGGTCACGTCATACCACGACAAATTTGATGGTTATCTACAATATCTCATCAAATTTACCACATGGTTTACGAGTGCGCCTCTTGCACATTGCGGAAGCCATCGCAATCCATGTTCACAAACCTGACCTTTGCATTCAAAAGAGATTCGTACAACCACTTTCTCTGCTCTGGCCATCAGTTTAAGATTTCCTTCAAAAGAACGATTTTTCATACTTCTTCCACTTGTTTTTTTTTTAAACTTTTGTAATTTTGTTTCTGTTGCTTTTGAACTTAATAACTTCTCAACATTCATCTCTTGATTCTTACGTAACTACTATTCTATTGACCATCCGTTAAAATTTTGTTCCTTCTTTGTTTCTTACATTACGCAACGTAGCAACTTTTTGATCACTTTGATTATTAATAATCCTCTTTCTTCCAATTCATCAATGTTAATTTAAATGTCATTATGTAATTATTACGTAACATATCTACTCGATGAGTATTATATTATTATTGTAAAACGTATATATATTAGTGTACAGCCATGATGAAAAACTAATTGAAAAGAAATTTCTTCGCTCAATTCCTTTCTTCTTTATCTTGGAAATCTGAATGGAAGGTGAATAATAGTTCCATCTTTTTTAAAGCTCTAACGACTGTTTTTTACTGCCTGTTTTGCTTGATGAGCTAGGATATTTGTCTAGTGTTACCTATCTGCACTGACTTTTCCATCTAATATGTTTTCGCTGCCGACCACTGCTCACGATCATTGAGAAAACTTTTTATTTCACCTTTGGGTTCTCGTCGTTCTTCAAACTTACCGGGTGGTTCTCCGATTACCTATCAATCCGGTGGGTATCACCAAAATCCTCTGATCTTTTCTAACATTTTGATTTACGTTGTTAGTAGGTGTCACTGCCATATATGCAGCTGTTTGGACATTATTAAAAGCTTCATCAGGTCGAACTGTCTCTCTACGATCGATTAGCTGCCTAGCTAATTTTTGTCTGAATCCATCCTTGAACTTTGGATTTAAATAAACTAAAATTCCATGTCACCTTTGCCAGTACAGGTGAAGTGGAGGATATTTTGGGAGCAAACTGTCTGCTCGAATCTGAGGGCGAAGTCCAAATACTGCCGGACGTACTGTATATGTAGTTCAGTTTATTTACAAACCTTAAGAAGATGTTTTTTCGCCCTGTGATTCTGTTACAAACAATCATCTGACTAGCCTAGAAGGGCAGGCCTACTAGACCTAGGTTAATGGAGGTTGACTTCTCTTCATCACAAATGATAGCTGCCACTCGAAGCGTTCCACATAGACATACCAGATACCACCTGTAATCCACATGTATCTGTATAGGATCACGCTCAGCAGAAGGAATAAATCATGTCACAGGCGGACTATGAAGAACCAATAAATGTGAAAGAACCATAGTACACTTAATCGCAAAGACTTGGGTAGGTAGGTTTTCGGTTGGTTAGTCATCGACCCCCCTTATCTCGTATTATTGATGATAATACATTCACTTCGTTATTCTATCACAATAAACCATTCCAATTTTATTTTGCATAGGTGTTTGCAAAATCATATATTTCTATATGGCAACATCAAAATGGATTAGGCAATTAAACTTATTCTTGGAATGGACAGGTCATGGTGTTCTATGGATAGGATTTGTTTTAATTTGGCTTATTACATTGTTAATTGATAATGCACATGGCATTAAATCCTATTCATCTTTGGAAACAATATGGAAGTGGAAAAATCCTTCCATTGAACAACAGTCTAACATTGTAGTCAATAGAAATATTGCAAAACCATTCTGTTTACTTATTGCTTTATTGTTCGATGCAGTAATGGTCGGTTTAATTAAATTTATATTTCGACGTCAAAGGCCGAAAGAAAATAATGATTCAGATATGTTATTAACTGTTAGTATTGATGCTTGGTCATTCCCTTCTGGTATGTATGTTTGTTTTTATGAAGTTAAATCATATTCTTCCCTATGCTTTATCGCAATCTTATCTTTATTTTATTGAAAAAAGGATGTGATTGAATTTATTTTTGTCTATAACCAGAATATGAATGAAATTCATCTGATTTTATTTTAAGCTCGACACCTTGAGTTCTACACATGGACTAAGTGACAGTTTTAATTCTTGCAACACTTGGTTTCTAATCGATTCAATCTTGTGTTTGAATCCTGACCCAGTTGATTCGGCTTGTAAACTCAATTAATATATCATTAGTTAGTCGGTCAACAACGTAGAGTTTTGTACGTGCGTACATTAGTTCGAGTTGCCATACCAAATTAGCACACATACAATTGTCGATTCAAATCCTATAGTGGGAGAGGTAGTAAAAGTATAAGTAGCAGTCGGAAAGATTAGAGTTTGAAGATGTTATTCAAGGAGTATAATCCAGTGAAATAAATTTGGAAAGCGAAAAAAGGGACATGAAGAATTCAGAAGACTAGAATTTGGGAGAACTCAAAGAGTGGATGAGCTTGCGCCATTGCAAACGATTTTGACTTATATCATTCAAGGTCTCTAACCATCAGTTGCTTTCGTCGTGCGGATCCCAACCAGATAGTTTACAACTACCAATATGGCTCAGTCCACTTGTCAATGACTTCATGGATTTGTACCATGTTTTGGACTGGCCGCCCCTAGCTTTCTTCCAACCTACTCCTTTACCATAAAACATCGCACGTCGGGGCATTCTGTGGTTGCGCATACACTTGTCACAGCCATTTCAACTGATGAAGTTTCACTACTTCATCAGTTGATTTGCCATCCTTATCTACTACTCGTTTCCTAGCAACTGCATTAGTATTAGTATCAATAGTATTCATACAAAAGTGTAGTCTGAAGCTTAATGCGCAAATTCACGTTTGATTAGTAGTTAATGTTAAAGTATAATTTTACCTTTCATTCTAGAAAATAATACAATGAATACATTACAAAAGTATGTATATATTCGTTAGTTGTCTATGAAAATCAATAAATACAATAGTTCATTGAAAGAAAAATAATAAAACATTAACATAGTAATATGGATGCATAGTTGTTTTAAAGTAAAATATGTAAAGTTGAATTTATTAGTCTAATTTTGATCCAATATAGACTAGTATCAGAAGGCGTTTTGTAAATTTTATAGTAATTTTAATGGTTGAGATCATGAGTCAATTGAAGCTAGACCACCATAGAAAACCTAGAAGCACTGGAAAGCCGTTTCTTCTTACCGTGGGAGTCCTCAGCAGTGTGCATCCACTATCCCGCCTCGCAAGGTCCGAACCCAGGACCTATCAGTCTAGACTATACAAATTAATTCACTTGACATTGTCTACTTGAATCTTCCGATTGATGTTTAGAACTGTAGGTTAACCCAGTTGACGAGTCCTAAGTGGGAGGAAACACACGTCCTGGATCCCACTGTCATCCACTATCCATTTTTTACTCGTAGTTTTTTCAAACAAAAGAATAACAGAATCAACAATTACGTTATGTAAATAAATTAGGAGTGTTATGTTTGATTAAAATGTCAACTAAGTGTTTAAACAAGAATGAAAAAAAGACTTGCTTCGTTTATTGTGGTACCAGGTTCTCCTCTTTAAATTTCTAAACGATGCGCGCATATTATTCAATTAAATGTTATAAAACTTGTGGCTTGAATAGTCGATGATTTTATTTATTCATTTATATATTTGAACAGATAAATATTGGTACAAAGAGGCACCGGATACATATGCGTCACATAAGTCACTCGATTTGTGTGTGGGCTGTTATATTTCCCGAGTGCCCAGGCCTAAGCAGGTAGTTCTCTTAGGGGGTCACACCTGGAGCCTTCGACATAAAGATCTAACCCATAAAGCAGTGGAGCAGTAGAGATGCAGTTTCATGGTAGCCGGTGACCAATAATTGGTTTACACGCCATTTGTTCCTTCAGGATCCGGGAGGCCATATGCACCGTCGGTTTTTAATCGGAGTTTTCCAACTCTCCTAGGTGGACCCTACATGTCCAGCGACCTGGTTGAAGAGCCAGAGAGTTAAACCTCTCTACCGTCGACCGTACCAGGGTTTTTTGAGGCAAGAACATTAAAATTAGTGTAAATGGCTCAAATTTTTTCTATCTATCATCATCTATTGGAGCTCGAATAAACATTTAGCTATCTTTTGTCTTTTATAGATTTGGAGACGTGGAGTATGAGTGACTGTGAGGGCATAGCGAAATTTTGTTTGAGGAGTAATTACAATTTATTATTGAGTTAATGTTTCAACTTGAGCAGTTAGAGATAGGCCATAACACCTTTATGTCAAAAATTTATATTATTATTATCACGTGATTTTCACCATGAACTGATTTGTACCGAATGATCATAATGTACTTGACAGTTATTCGTCTATAGTCTACCTTATACAGCAATGTACTTCATAATATCTCGGTGAGTATGATACCCTACAAATGACGTGTTTCAATCTCAACTGAAACAATTACATATTTCTCTCTAATATCCAATGTTTCTCGAGCCAATATATGTTTATATAGTGAATAATTTGTATGACAGCCCCCACATACCCTGGTACGGTTGAGAGTGGGGAGAGTTGGGTCTCCCTCTCAAAATGCTCCTACAAGGCCAAGTGTATACAGCTACTGCCAGAGAAATCCGACTCACTGACTTCTCGCCGCATTAATGTTATTTACGAAATTGAGAGGACGAAAAGCGAATATCCGATGCTTTAACTGGGTTGGTGGACACGGAGGATCCATCTAGAGGAGTTGAGAACCCTGATTCCAAACCAATGGTGCACATGGACTCCAGTATCCTGAAGGAAAAAATGGCGTGTGAACCAATTATTGGTCATCGGCTACCATGGGACTGCATCTCCTGACTTGCTCCACTGCCTTGTGGATCAGACCTGTAGGTCGAAGGCTACGTATATGACCTAATAAAACTACCTGCTTCGGTCTGGCACCCGGGCAGTATCACAGCTCACACACAAATCAAGTGACTTGTGTGACGCATATGTATTTGGCGCCTCCTTATACCAATAATTATGCGTTTAGATGAACAAGTTTATCTGACAACTTCAAATAGAAAAAGCACACACATTTAATTTATGATAATCATTTTTGTTTACTTTACGTTTCTCCTTTTTGTTTCTTCTTTAAATTTAGGTCATGCTAGTCGATCAACAATGTTATTCTTTTTAATTTCTCATTTATGGTTGTCTACATCTACATTATGGTTTATATTATTATTATTATTTTGGAATTTAATTATATGTTATTCACGTTATGCAATGCGTCGTCATCATTTCATTGATATTCTAGCCGGTTATACATTAGGTTATATAGAATATTGGTTAATTATACAATTGAATTATGAATAGATGGATCTGTTAAGCATATATATATATATATATATATATATATATATATATATATATATATATATATATATATATATATATATATATATAGTTTGGAAACGGCAGACGATACAATGTTAGTGGCAAAATGTATGAACAGCTTAATTCAAGTTTATTTGTTTCTGAGTATGTTCGTGTGTGTGTGTGTATAGGTCAGTGTTTGTGCAATTATCCCCCCTCTCTCTCTCCTTTAAAGAACAGCAACAAGTACAAATGATTGTGCAATCGAATCCTTCATATTTTTAAAAAAGAAATATACTTTTGTTTCTATATATGATTTTTTAAAATTGAAACCATGTACTGATTGTCTTTTATGATTATTAAAGATAATATGTATTACTTTTATTCTACTGTCCCAACTTTTCCTGTGATTTGGTCTTTATTTTTATTTTTTAAGAAAAAGAAAGCATTACATTCTGATTAAACACTTCTATTGTTTTTGTTCTTTTTGAATAGCTATAATTTATTATTGTATAATGAGAAGTAGTGACTAGTGGAGTTCAACCGGATTTGTTGTCAGATAGTAACTCATTGAAGACAATGGTTGATGTGTCGCTCAATTTTTTGAATTAGTTGAAGTTAGATATTAACACCATTGGATACCGTCCAGCTCAGTGGTCTAGAGGTTGAGCGTTCACATGCGAAATCGATGGGTTCTGAGTTCGAATCTCGCAAGTCGGGATCGTGGGTGCACACTGCTGAGGAGTCCCACGATAGGATGAAACGGCCTTCCAGTGCTTCTAGGTTTTCTATGGTGGTCTAGCTTCAATTGACTCATGATCTCAACTAATGAAATTATATTATTATATTCAAGAAAAAAAAGACGTTAATTTGCTTTCAAAGTATGGTTGCGAATGGTATAAGCGTTAACATATTTTATGTCACAGAAGATTTAGTTGCGCATATATAAACAGTTTGTTAGATTTATCCATATAGATTGTCTGAATCTTGTAATTGATGTCGAATGATGGGTTTGACGCTGCATGCATGCTACAGAAGACGTAATTTATCAAAATTGTCTTTTGTTAGTGCATAACTGGAGGATTCGCGGAAGCAGTGGTTTCGACGATAACAATATTTTAGATTTCATCGTGTTTACAAAAATGATCACAGATTTGTAACAAGGCAAAACAAAGACAAAGTGGACAGAATAACTACCATTGTAAATAAGTTGAAACATTTAGTTATATGATTAACAAACTACATATTGTCTTGTTAAAGAACTTTCTAAATCTTTATAAGAGGTCGAATGATAATAATAGTTACACAAGAGTGTAGAGAGGAACGAAGTAGTTGTTCTGGAACTTACTTACGCCTGTTATCCCTCGTCAAGGATCATAGGTTGTCCACCAGCACTCCTCACCCAACTGTGTCCTAGAAAATTCTTTTCAGTTCCTATTCATCCTTTTCATGTCTGCTTCCGATTATCGATGTAGTGTGTTCTTCAGCCCTCCTCTTCGTTTCCTCTCAGGATACCAAGTTAGTGTTTGCCTCGTGATGCCCACAGTAGACTGTTGCTGATGGTATCCGGCCAATGGATGTTGAGTATATTTAGTAATTTCGTGATTGGTTTAGTACTCGCTGTGCTGTATCTGTGGATTTTGCTTTTTTCCGTTGTGTATGTTGAGACCAACTGATGCTGAGGCTGCTGCTACACTAGTTGTCTTCATCTTCATTTGTTCATGTGTATGGGATAGAAGGGCCAGGTCATCTGCGAAGTCCAAATTGTCTGCTTTCATACAAGCTGTTCATTGTATTCCGTGCCTTCCTTGAGATGAAATATAGGCAGAAAAACTAAGAGAAATTTTAAAACTTTGGGAGTAATGAAAAAAGCGGGGAATAATGTCACTAGTAAATCTCTAATTTACTCTATTTTGATAAGGCAGTCAAAGAAAGCGATTGTACAAATGGCTTCATCTGCGAAAGATATATCATGTAGGAAATTTTGTAGAGTGCATTGTACCACCTAATATTCTGTATCAACGTGATGGCGTTTGGAACAAACTGCACTGGGTTCGAGTCATTGACTGAGCTTCAACTCTGGGATGCAGGCACATTCAGTTGACGAATCTCAGACGGGACGAAACACGCATCCTGAATTACACTTCAAGCTACCATCCACCTTTGCTTGTAGTGCCAGTTGTGCTATAAATGAGAAATGAAACTTGTTTTGTTTGACAGAAAAATGAAAATTGGTTAGTGGATATTTTTCATCATCAACTGCTTATAACCAAACTACCTCAAACTAAAGAGCATTGGATAGCTTTGTGGTAGAAACGCTTTGCACAACAGTATCTTGTGATTCTGGTTAAACTTACGGTGTGTTCGTGCCTCACTAGTGATGTACTTTATACTCGGTAAAATGTTCAATTTATTCACTTATTTCGTTTAAACTAAGCATGATTGTAGATCTGGTATGGTTGAGATTTGTAGTGCAGATGGTTGATTTAGGTAGAGTTTCGTTCCCTGCACATGTGGCTCCTAATCATTATGATAGACAGAACAGGCTGTCAGTCATACGAGGTGAAATCGAAATCAGTCCTTTCCGTCTGGATTTAGTGCTGATGAGGTTATCTAGGAAGACAATGAATGCTTCCTGGTTAAACTACCCAGAATCCCAGCTAAAATGATCATAGATCAACTGTGATAAAGTACCACATAATTTTCAGTTAAAAAGATGTGCTAATAGTACTTAAGTTTCTCGGTATCTGCTACAAAACCACGTCGTTATTACCATTGGTTATTAGCTCAGTGACCTAGGTTAGTCGCGCGAGTTTGCAACCACTGGGTTGGAGTCCCTGCTGTAAGGTTGTGGATTTGGACTGCAGGGATATCCCATCTTAAGATTAAACGGTTCTTAATAATTTCAGATTTTTAATAGTGGTCTAAATAAGGTCGGTTCGTGATTCAAACCTTAAAAATCAAATAATGCATGAATCTACTATGTACAAATGAATTTCGGATTAGGTTTTTTCGGGAATTTAAACTTTATCAAAGAAATGAACGAAAGTTTAAGTAAAGGATTTTAATGTATCTGCTAGACAGATGTGCAAGAATCCTAGATCCATCATTTCCTGATGATTCACAACAATTATCCAGAGAAAAATCTTTTTCTTAATTCACTAGTAAACCAATCTTTATTTAAATTCATTTTGTATTGGTTGTTTAAATCTTCCCATTGATGTTTAGGACTACAATTGATCAACCTCTTAATAGTATATGTACATACTGTGCGTATTGCCTCGATATTTCCTGTGGTCACAAGCATTATAAACAAAGATGGATAGTGGCTAGCAATGGAATCCAGAGTGAACAACTCTGAAGTGCAGATACGTCTAGCTGACGAGTCCGAAATAGGACGAAAAGCACGTCATGGATTCCACTGCTAGTCACTATTCATCTTTACTTACAGTTGTTATTTATTTCATCAAACCGTTTTAGGAATTTCACACAAGCATACAGGACATTTTTTGTTACTCAAATCGGGACAACCGAAGTTTAAGATAGGAAAAGAGTTGTAGCTCACGAAATCTAGTTACATTATTGTTGTATTGTATGAATTAGCTGTCAAACTATATACCGACCAGAGACATGAAGAACATTCACGAAGTTAGAGTTTTGATTAGTAAAGAACCAAGTGAAAATAAATTCTTTACGATTAAAATATTTAGTTCAAAGAATTCACCAAATGCCGTGATACGGCAGAGAACGGAAAGAGTCAGCTCTCCCTCACGAACTACTCTCATATGACCACACGAATACAACCACTAACAGGGAAGTCCTACTCACTGACTTCTCACCGCATTACTATTATTTACGAAATTGAGAGGACGAAAAGAGAATATCCGGCGCTTTAACCAGGTTGTTAGATCTGGAGAATCCGTCTAGGAAATTTGGAAAACCCTGATTCCAAATCATTGATGCACATGGGCTCCAGGATGCTGAGTCAACAAATGGAGTATGAACGTATTCTTGGTCACCGGCTATCATGGAAATGCATCTCCATTGCCTTATGGATCAGATCTTTAGGTCTAAAGATCTGGGTGTGGCCTCTCAAGAAAGCCATCTGTCTCGATTTGGGCACCCGGGCGGTCTCACACCCCACACACAAACCAAGTGACTTGTGTGGCACATATGTATTCAGTGCACCCTTGTACCAATGTTTATATGTTTAAATAAATAAATACTTCACCAGGAGAATTTTAAGATAGTCTATTCGTGACATGAAAAAAACACACCAAAGTTTCGAGTTTTTCCTCTCTCAACGATTAGAATTTCTCAATGTAATTCCGATGAGTTTTTTTCAGGCGCCAGTTTTATATGAATATTCATTCCAACTTTAAATCTATGAGAATTTTCTTGATAAATAATTATGATTATTATTTTAAAGCTTCTGGATATTAAAAATATGTGAATTTTAGAAAGGAAAAGTTTCAATTAATGATTATGAGCTCTTTTGTTTACTAAAAAGTTCGAAATTTTGGTTACCATGGTAATGATACGGTAGTGAACAAGAACAAAGTGTGTGTGTGTGTGTAGGGGGCAGTTTTTATGGAGTATGTAAAGATAGAATTTGAATAATTTTCTTTCAGTATTTCATTTGAAATACATATACTCCGTTTATTACATGTTCACATTCATCTGGCTTATTCACTCTATTTGGAAATATCAACTACTTTTTTAGTTTATTAAGAGTATTACAATCGAACTGAAAACAAAATACTCATAGGGGAATCTATTTATTTCAGCAGTGTCATAAATTCATTTTTCTGGTTAGCGTTTTTTTAGTGAGTTAGTTTTCTACGGGATGGGGTCGATTACTCTATGCCCAATCGTCCTCTTTCATCCGGGCTTGGGTACTGCAATAGCCCCAGAGGGGTTCCAGGCGGAGTTCTGCTGTATGGGGCGGAAACCTGGAGAACTACGAAAGTTATCATCCAGAAGATACAAGTGATTAATAA